GGGGGGGGGGGGGGGGGGGGCAGTCACTCATGACCGGGGTGTGAAGCCAGACTCAACATTCTGGCGTTTTTTTCCTTCTTTATTCACCTTCAGACACGTTCCACTGAGGCAGGTGTTGCACGCGCCAAATTAAATTCACTCGATGTAAGAAATTTGAGATGAATTACGGAAAATAAATTGTACTTTATCATGCGCATGGTTTACCGTGGAATATCAACTTCCAGAGGGGGGAAATCCAGTGGCTTCAACACTTGACACTTTTTTGCTATGAGTTTATCAATTGAGTGGAATAATTCGGAACTTGATGGGATGATAACTTGGTCAATTGATTCGATTTTTATGCGGGGGTATTGTGTCTTTTTTAATGTAATAAATCTGTTGCCCATTCTTTGGCCGCGATTCACGCCAAAACGACTGAATGAATTTCAATTGTATTTTTACGATTATATTGTAAGGATTTTTTTTAAATTTCGTGGAAAATATGATGGTAATTCTCATGGGATTGACTTGAAGTTCTAGGTAGAATTTGAGGAAATTCATGAGTTTTCAGTTGGAGTGGGATGGAAGTTTCACAACTTGGTTAAATCTTCAATTTTCTTGGAATTTTCCTGATTTTTCTGAATTTTTACAGAATAATTGAACTGAAAAATTAAGTATTTTGTTGATATTCAAATCATTTCAACAGAAAGTCAATGGAATATTCGATTTTCCAATGACAAGATTTTCCGAAATTTCAGTGGAACTTAAACACGATAAAAATTTCCGGAATTGACACGGAAAATTCAGACGAAAATTTTTAACAGTGCACATAGTTTAAGGTTCCCAATCGGCTTTAGGCTGTAAGTTATTGCGCTACGGTGCGTAGTTTTTTATGCACCGTTTTGTAGAGAGTTCGAGAAAATTCTTTGGTTCTACAGAAAATTCCAGGAAATTCTCGGGTTTTCTAAACAATTCGAAGAAATTCTTCGGTTTTTGAGGAAAAACGAGGAAATTTTCAGTTTTACAGAAAATTCGAGAAATTTCTTTGGCTTCGCAGAAAAGTTGAAAAAACTCCCTCGCAGAAAAGTTAGAAAAATTTCCTCGAATTTTCTAGCAAATTGCGTGAATTTTATGGAAAATTTTATGTAACTTTCGCGGGCGTTTTTAATAGATATTTGCTCATACAAAAGTGTATGAATGTTGATTTTTTACATAATTCATTCTATTAGGATTATTTCTACAAGAATTCTTAAACACGAATTTTCTCTCTGTTTCTTGGATTTTATCGTGTGAAAAAAATTAAAATGCAATGATAAAAACTTGTAAATTTATGCCCACTAATTTCCGTAAAAAAATAAAAATTTATCGACTTTTTTCTGTCATATATCATCTGTTAATCAAATGCGAGAGTAAAATTTTTAATTATTAATTGAATTGCCAGAGAAAATAAATAGAATTTTTCAACAGAATTCCAATAAAAATTCAATCGAATGTCTAAAAGCGATTACTCGATTTTTATTAATATATTTTTCTGCGAATTTGTGACAGTTGCGACATTTCGCTAAATATTTCAGCTTCTTCAGGCTCTGCAACGAAGTTATAAAATAAATAAAATTACGTAGCCGCTGTGACAAATTAATAAAAGTTATATTATTTCTCCACAATTTCTCTTGATCTAAACATGAGGTCTATTTTACCTAATTCAGTCCCATAATTTTTGTATTTTCCTAATTAACAATATCATTTTCATCCGAATGGATTCAGGCGAGGAGAGGGATCTTCAGTTAAGTCAGACGAGCTTTGAGCGAGCGGCATCACTACTTCGGCGGGTTCCGGAGTTCACAGTTGCTGCAGCACTGCGCCAAGAGGAAGCTAATTCCGGTACAATCGTAGCCTTCTCCCATGGTAATAATAGGTACGATTTCTCCCCGTAAAAAAAAGCAAAGATCCTCATCAAACCTCTTCGCGTGAAAAACCACCTGAATAAATGGATGTTGCAGGTATTTGGAGCTGCAGAGCAGCGGCCGAAAAGACGAGCTCCGTCTTCACTACGTATCCCGACGTGACGGTGCAGTGCACGTCGAGTCATTTCCATTTCGTCTTGCGGACGGTGCGTGGCACAGGGTTGCCCTGAGTATCAGTGGCTCGCAGGTCGAGCTACTCGTCGACTGTCATCCCCTTTATAGACGTCTACTCAGACCTGGTCCACCAGACACTAATTTTACTCTGCCACAACTTCAACTCTGGGTCGGCCAGAGAAATGCCAAGCACTTTCTATTCAAGGTAACATAAGAAAAAAAAATTTTAAAAACAAGTGGGAAATTGCTTCCGCCACAACATAGTCAATATATTTTTGCTAATGAATCAGCATTTTGCTTCCGAATGGAATGTTTATGACGATATATTTTAAGGGGAGACTACTAGGAGTTTTAAATGTCGCGGGCTATTGGAATGAGATTTCCCATAGATTGAAGATCGATTATATATGTCTAAAAATGAATGATTAGGGCAAAAGATTAATTGTTTAAAAATTAAAAATTAAATTAAATTGAAAATTCAAGTGCAAAATTAATTTATGAGCTGTAAAGGTTTTTTTTCCAAATTTTTTGAAAAAATGTGTGCAATAACAATGACGAGTTATTTTTTTGAAATTCGCCTCCTACACAGCTAATTCTGTTTTTTTTTAAATACAAAATTGCACTATTCATGTAAAACAGGCAAACGAATTATCCTTAAAATATTCAAAATATATTCTCAACTCTTTGAGATACATTTTTAGTGACATTATTTCTAATTTTCAAAAGAATGTCACTAATTTGCAGGACCCATCTCTATTTTTTAGAAATCTATCACTAAATTTCTGTCCGAAATCACAAAAATGATCATCAAACAGTTTTTCTGTTAGAAGTACTCGAATCATTACTTCTCCTTTTTGGGTAATTGACCATTTTGATTAATATGAACTGACCGAATTACCGTATGCTAATGTCATATTTTCATAACAATGCATGTAAAGCCTCGTTTCTTTCCCAATCGTGATCAACGATAACCATTGCTATCTAAATTCATGATTCTCACATTGCAAACTATTTTTCATTTTTTTATATTCATTATTACAGCTAATTTTATTACGGCCAATTACAGGATCAAAATCAAATAGACATGCAGTATCATAATAAAATTAATTTAATCAACAGTTCAAAGTAATACTTATGACGGAAAGCATTATTTATATTGCTTATATCTTAAAAATCCTTAGATTACCTGATCTATGTAAATTATTTAATAATAAATATACTCAAATTGTTTACGATCTGTTTCTTGTTTTGTTGGTATTTTGCTTCAGAAATGACTTAGCATGTCATGAAACGTCGAGATATGATGTTTTTAGAGAATGTCCGTGTGTGCGGACAAAATTCTGAGATTCTAGAATCCGATCATAGGAATGAGGAGTACAGATATTCTTTTACCATATGAAGGGAAAAATATATTTTAAAAAATTTCAGGAATACATGGAGAGCTTTACTATTACCCGACTGAGATTTTAAATGACTTCGGTTTTGGGTGTTTGTTTTTATCACAAAAAAAACGATTTTCATTGATCTTTTACATAATTCTTCTTCATTCAATGTTGTAACTTGTGCATGAAGGAAAAATATGCATATTATATAAGAATAAGAATGGATTAAATTAAATTAATCTAATTGTGAAGACGGAAATGGAGAGAAAATAAAATAAAATAGTATAAATTAAGCTTCGCGCCCGTTCGCTAGTAATATAGAAATCGTACATGCAAACGATTCCGAGTTGTATATCAACTATTATTCCGTTTTTCCTCCCTCAAATCCAAACCACATAAAATAGATAAAATCAAGTTCTCCCGACCACCCATTTTTTCATCCTCTCGAAAGTAATCAGAAAGGTGATTGCACTCAACGAATTCCTGTCATTCATCACCGTGACTCAGCATCGGTGAGCCCCAGTTGCACCCTCAACCCTCGAACATTTCCTGCAGCACAAGGGAGGAAATGGCTCTTGGCTAATGGCCCGGCGAATCATTCCCATTGTCCCATTACAATCACGCGTTTCCTCCTTCAAATGCATTTATCTCCCCGAACACGAACATCTTTTCATTTGAATTCTTTTTGTGATGACACTAGGGTGCTCTCCAAGACGTCAAGCTTATTCCAGGCGCCCATGGATATCTGTCGCAGTGCCCCCAGCTCGACACTTCCTGTCCCACCTGCGGACAGTTCTCGATTCTTCAGAATACTGTTGAACAACTTATGCACAATTTAAACGAATTGACTCGTAGGGTAAATATTTACTGGTACTATGATATTTGTGAGTGCATGGAGGGAAAAAATGCGATTAGTCATATGGAAAGTATGATAAATTGTGGAATGTTACGCAAAAAATGAAAAAGTAGTAGAAAAATTTGATGGAGAAAACACATTTACGGATTAAGTAATCATTGATTTTCTATTTTCTTCGTTTTTATTCGTGTTTACCATTTTTAGAGCACACGTATGAAGAATTTATTAGAAAAGCATGTGGAATAAAAGAATCAATGAGTTTTTCTCTTCAACTTTGAAGTGAAAAAATTGAAATTGAGTGATCATGAATTTTCTAATTTTTGTTGTAAGAGAAAAAGGGATGTTCACAAGCGAAAATTTAGAAGATTCACCTGGAGAGATTTTTAACGACAAAACTTTGAACAACATGAGATGCCCGGAAAAATCATATTTTCTCATATTTTCATATTCTCAACATGATGCACGAAAAAATATGATTTTTTCGTGCATCTCATGTGAAACAATAGAATAGAAACCAATAAAAAATATAAAAAAGGAAACAGTTATGAGTCGAATATTTTGATACGACGGACTGAATTATTCCACACGGAGAGAAAGATTCAGTAAAAATTACGGAACAATTCACGTAATCTGTAATGGATAATCGTTTTCCGGCAATTTGTATAGGAATGGAAGAGAATAAATCTGAAACGTTCAGTGAATTTTCAGGTCCATCACCGAACAAATTACGAAATTGTCATGTAATTTTTCCCGAAGAAGTAAAATCTTACAGAAACTTCCCGACTTGTTATGCCTCCAAAATCAAAAATTCTTGAACGTTCAACAATTTTTATGAAGTTGGTGAGTGATTTCTACGTTCCGTTCCGTAAAATTTCTCAATCATTGGGGAAAAATTACGGAACGACTTGTCCCCACAGCGGTCATCAGACGGGTTGTTAATTTTTACGGAACAAATCGTAGAATTTACGTGGCTATTCGTACAATTTCAGTGCCGACTCACACTTTTTATGGAATTTTACATCGCTCGCGGATTTCTTTTTGAAACGTAATTGTTACGTTTTTTTTCTGGTAATTTTTATTGAATTTTTCTCTCCGTGCAGTTATGTCTGACGCGTCTTTTACCCAACCCCTTGGAAACCCCGGAAACCCCCTGAATTGGACATAACTAGAATAATTCAATCGTCGTCTCCCGGACGTTTTCCGTCATAATATTCGACTCGAGAATGTACAAAATTTTTCATAAACAATTTTCTCCATGCACGGAGAAAAAATTCCAGAAAAATTACTGTGGTAGCACGATAAAATAGGTTCATTGGATGCACCCGGGAAAATTCCCGTGCCAGCACCCAAATTTTTGCCGTGCGCTACAGGAATTTTTCTCGAATTTACCGTCAAAAAATCCTTGTACTCCACAGAAAATTTTCCGGTGCTGGTACGATAATTTTGCCGGGTCCGTCCAAATGAACCCATTTTACCGTGCTGGCACAGTAATTTTTCTGGAATTTTTTTCTCCGTGTGTTCCTGTGGGGATAATTTCAATAGATTAGAGTCTCACGGACGTCCTTCCTTTTAGCTAGCTGCTGCAGAGGGTAGAATAAGCAAAGTGGAGGAATGCGAGTGCCAAAAATCATGCAGGGAGAATGGTACCGTGCATGATGATGGGGCGACGTGGGAAAAAGGCTGTCAGTTGTGTTCTTGCGTTCACGGGGAGATCGAGTGCAGGCCGATACCCTGCGCTCCAGTCACATGCAAATATCCTGTTATACCTGAGGGACAGTGTTGTCCTATCTGTCTGAGTATGTCACAGCACTACACATTTGCATTGTATCAATCGAATACTCCTTCACCAATTTTATAAATGAAGAAAATATTTATAAATATCAACTTCGTAGCGAAGTGGTAAAAGGAGATGAGCTAATTTTGACTATTGACCAGTTTTCAATCAATATCTCGGAATCTAAGGGAGATGGCGAAATTTTCGTAATAACATTTCTTGTAGCACTCAATCGGCTCCACAAAAAAGGTTATAACAAAAATTTCGCTACCTCCCTTAGATTTCGAGATATTGATGGAAAACTGGTCAATAGTCAAAACTGACTTATCTCCTTACCACTTCGCTACTGAATTTAATAGGAACATCTCACTATCAGATAAAATCATTTATTGGAAATTTCTTGTACTGTAAAAATACTTTCCCACACGTTTCCTTCTGAATACATTTGTTTCTGAGATATTTTTGTGATTGAATAATAAGTTTCAAAACTTCAATTCTGAATTTAAAAAATCGTAAATAATTTTTTTTTCATGAACGCATTGTTTCTTCAGAACAATGTTACACTCACGGTGTGATCTTCGATCACGGTGAGAAGATGTCACCGAGACAATGCCTCGAATGTGAGTGCATCGATGGAGTATCCGAGTGCTCCAGAACGAAGACAAGGTGTCCACCATTACCTTGTTCACCCAGTGAGCAGATAACTGTGGCTGACGAGTGCTGCAAATTCTGTCCAGGTACGAAATGTCAATTGAAGAGTGATACATATTCTCACACCTTACGAAACTCAGCTGATTCTTCGCTAATCGGTAGATTCAGTACAAAATTGGGAAAATAGAGATGATTACAACAATTACATGCAGATTATTTTGTCAACATCTCGGAGTTGTAGTTTATAAAATTACGTACACGGACGAAAAAATTTAGTAGAAAAACCTATCGAATTCGTTAGAAAATTCTATTGAAAAATATTCAGTAGAATAAGTCAATAGAATTCAATTTTTCTATATAACTTATTCTATTGAGATATTTTCTATAGAATTTCCTCGGCTCAAATTTTCTAAGTTTTTTTGTTTGATTTTCTTGATGAGAAGAAAAAAAAATAGAATGAGAAAAACTTAGAAAATTTGAGTCGAGCAAATTCTATAGAAAATATACGAAAAGAATAAGTTATATAGAAAAATAGAATTCTGTTAACTTTTTCTGTTGAATTTTTTCTATTGAACTTGTCAATAGAATCAGCCAAAAACTAATAGGGAGTTCAATAAAAATTCAACAGAATTTTCTAACGAATTCGATAGGTTTTTCTATTAAATTTTTTCGTGCGTGTACAAAAACTGGTCTTTTCTTGAATTATTTTGAGGGTCTCGTTTTCGAAGATGTGAACAAAATATACTGGAAATGTGGATTGAATCTCTGTTGTCACTCCAATACTGAAGTACTCCATGCTCATTAATCTATTAATCAAACTAATGACTTTAATTCAGAGATCTCCATTCAAGTTATCATTCGAAATGTGAATAGCTTTCTGATGTTGAATAATTGCAAGTTCAGGTTATCGATACTTAGCTCCTCATCAATTTTCAGCTAATAATTCATGTATATCATACCTAAAATCAATGATTATTACATGATCATTATAATGACAATTTATTTCTATTGAACTTTCTATTAGTTTTTGAATGGCTCTATTGAAGTGTTCAATAGAAAATATTCTATAGAAAAAGTCAAAAGAATTGGATTTTTCTGAAGTTTTTCTCATTCTATTTTTCTTTTCCTCTTATCAAGCAAATCAAACAAAACAACTTGGAAATTCGAGCCGAGGAAATTCTGTAGAAAATATCTGAAGAGAATGAGTTATTATTACATAATAATAGGCCGATAAAATTTCAGTCTACGATTCATAATTTCTGTCGTTTACTTGATTCATTCTGTCAAAAAACAGGAATAGAAATCGAATTTATGGGTATTCTTCCAGCATTCGAAAAAATATATCGATTTTAAAACTTTCTGGAGACATTGGAAATTGAAATTCCAAAATATTCATATCCTGCCCATATTCGACGAAAAACAGTAATTCCAAGTCTCCAGTGACACAAATGAAGAAAAACAAATTTTCTCCATTTTCTTGTTATCCCCTTTTAAAAATTTTTAGTCTCCAATTCGTGATTTGTGCAATTCATTGCCATTTAGGTAATTCTATTGATGCTATCAAAAGACAAGGATAGAAATCGAATTTATGAGTATTCTTTCATTATTTGAAAAAAATTGATTTTACAACTTTCCGGAGACATTGAAAAATTCATTTTTCAAGTTCATTCCGCCCATTTTTTTGCATTTTTTGGATTACTTGAAGAAAAAAAAGAAAAAAATCCATTTTCTAGCCAATTATCCTTTTCTGATTCTTTTTTCATTCCCTTTTCATGATAAGAATTGAAATCCGGTCATAGGAATTTGATTACAAAAAAAAAACACTTTTGATTGATCTGCAGCATAATTCCTCTTCCTCAGCATAATTCCTCATTCAATGTTATAACTTGTGACTTAAGGAAAAAAAATATAATAAGAATAAGAATGAATAAAATTAAATAAATCTAATTGTGAAGACGGTAATGGAAAGAAAATAAAATTAGAAAAAACTAATAGAAAGTTCAACATAAATCTAATAGTGATTTCTAAGCAATTCGCTAGGGTTTTCTGCTAAATTATTTCATGCGTGGTATCTCGAAAATTTATTAACATTATCACGATGCAACATTAATGGAGATCCCTGCTAAAATTAGCTATCGTAACTAATTCTGCTAATTAATCCTTTCCCAATGCCACGGATTAACAAAAATAACCAGGGGTGGACTATTGCGCTAAGGGCCACAAATGTCATACAAATGCCTCTTGCCTGAATCTCCAGACGACCTACGCCTGCCACTGCAATCTTGGCTTCCAAGGGGACGGCCAAAACTGTCACGGTACTAAAATACTAATCAACAAAACTAGAATAACGACAGAATTCACTAGCGAAGTGGTAAAAGGAGATAAGTCAATTTCGACTATTGCCCAGTTTTCAATGAATATCTCGGAATCTAAGGGAGATAGCAAAATTTTCGTTATAATCTTTTTTGTGGAGCCGATTGAGTGCTACAACAAATGTAATTACGAAAAATTCGCTATCTCCCTTAGATTCGGAAATATTCCTCAAAAACTCAACTGGGAGATGAGTCGACTTATCTCCGTTTACCACTTCACCACTGAATTAATCAATCATGCCCGATTTTGTGAGTAAACCAATAACCGAAACGATGATTTTTATCGTCAGATGTTGATGAATGCAAACAGCAGGGAGGCTCCGAGGGCCACCACTGTAATGCTAATACCCGATGTGTGAACGTGGTTGGCTCGTACACGTGTGAATGTCTTCCTGGGTATCACAGGGTGGACAAGTTCAACTGCGCTGAATTGGATGAATGCGCGACTGGGCAACACTCGTGTTCGGAGCACGCTACTTGTGTTAATACTGCTGGAAGTTACTACTGCGTTTGTAAGGAGGGATACACGGGGGATGGATACACTTGCAAACGTAAAGACACAATCACTTCCTTCGGATTAAGCTGATGGATTTAGTAGGGCAGTAGTTATTATATTTCCGGTTCATAGACTGAGGAAAATACTTTGTAGACTGTTTTCAGTCAACTCCCTTGAACTTTTAAGCAAATCATGAGAATTCGATAGCAAATTAGGCGAAATTTTTAATTAATTGAAAATTATGAAATTACAAAAATTATGAATTTTTATGGGATAATTGAATTGAGATTTAATTCCCTTTGATTTTTTCTATCAAATTGTGACATTGGAATTGATTTCATGCGGAAAAATCATAAAATTTCAAATGTCACGTTAAATTCAGTGGAGTTCCAAATTTTCGAGCAGACGGATGACGAGAATTCCTCAACTTACTTGAACTTTCAATCAAAAGATGAATATTCAGTACCAAATGAGGCTGAATTTTTAATTAATAAAAAATTCAACAACACATTCATCTGAATTATCCGAATTTTTATGAAGTTTTATGAAATAATTGGACTCAAGTTCAGTCAAATTGTGACATTGGAATCTATCTCACGGAGAAAAATCATGAAATTTCAAATTTCACCGAAAGATCACATGAATTTTTAATTAAAACGCGAACATTTAGTACGAAATAATGCTAAAATTTTCATTGATTTGAAATTCAAGAATATAGTTACCTGAATTTTACGATTTCTTGTTAATCTTCATGAAGTAATTCAACCGAAATTCACAATTTTTATTGGCTTTTTCATCGAAATGTGAAATTTCGTTGTTGAAAGCAGAGCAATTATTCATGTTTGAGACTTTCAAATTCGAACCAAGCAATGATATTTTTGATAATTTTAAACTAACGATTTTGTTGGTCCAAACAAGACTTGCTTGAGAACTTATTAGTGTTTCTCTCAGTGGAATGCAATTTCCTAAAAAATTGAACATGTCGATCTGAAATATTCTTTCCTTTAATCACCAGTAATTGTTAAAAACTTTCTATTCGACTTCCCTACTGAATTCCAATCGTCAATAACTCAAGAAGTTCCCCACCTCGTTTGGTTTGTTAAAAACTTATTTGTTCATCCGTTCACTCCATGTAATTAATTTTCAACTGCTTTCATTGATTCATTTTATGTCTATTGAACTTTAAAGCGGTGTGCAATGAGACTTGTCAAAATGGGGGTGAGTGCATAGCGCCCGGCAGATGCTCCTGTCGTCGTGGATACATTGGCAACAGCTGTGAGCTTGATCTGGACGAATGTGCGAGTGATCTTCACAGATGTCACCATTCATCGACGTGTTTCAATATGCCTGGATGGTACTACTGTCGATGCAAACCCGGTTACAGAAGTGCATTGCACGACAGCAGCCAGGGCACCCAGTGTCTGGACATTGACGAGTGTAATGACCAAACTCTGGAGAGGAGACACACCTGTCATCCGACTGCCAGGTGTATCAATACGGACGGGGGATATGAGTGCGCTTGTCCGAATGTAGATCCCAGTCAAGAGTGCAAGCTCAGTGAGTCATCAATTGAATCATTATCCTTTTGTTGCTTGTGCGTGGAAGCTTCACCACAATTTTCTTTCTCTAATTCTACGCTTACGGAGTCATCGATTTTCATTTTTCTTTGCGTGGATCTCTAATGAGCTCTGTCCTTTGACATTAATTGAAAGTGTATTCATGGAAGCGATTGCGCGATATTAGCATTTTTTTCAAATTGATTTTTCATTGGTTATTTCTTTTTCTCTATATTTTCAAAATCCAAATCAACTTTTGGGGATGAACATTCGGTACTCGAAATCAAAACTCCGATATTAAAGATCACAAGGGTCATGAGGGTCAAAATGAAGGCCATCAAGGTCAGAGTAAGGGTCACAAGGGTTAAAATAAAACCCACAAGGGTCACATGGAATTAAGGATCGCAAGTTTAAGGGTCAGATTAAGGGTCGTAAAATGAAGGGTCACAAGGGCCAGATTAAGGGTTCAAATAAGGTTAACAAGGGCCAGATTAAGGGACTAAATTAGTATCACAAGGATTAAAGTAAGGGTCACAAGGATCAGAGTAAGGGTCCAAATAAGGGACATGGGGGTCAAAAACCAAGAGTCACCAGGGTCAAAATAAGGCCAACAGTCACAAGGGTCAGATTAAGGATTCGAAGTTTAAGGCCATCAAAGATCGTAAAATTAAGGGTTACAAGGGCCAGATTAAGGGCCAAAATAGGGATAACAAGGGTGAGATTAAGGATCTAAATAACTGTCACAAGGATCAGGGTAAGGGTTACAAGGATCAGAGTAAGGGTCTAAATAAGAGACATAGGGGTAAAAAACCAAGGGTCACCTGGGTGAAAGTAAGGGCCACGACGGTTATGATGGTCATATTAAGGATCCATACGAGGGTCACAACGGTTAGATTAAGAATCGCAAAGGTCAGGTTAAGGGTCCAAATGGGGGTCAGAAACTTAAGGTCACAAGGGTCAAAATAAAAGTCACGAGGGGTATGAGGATCACACGGGTCAGAATAAGGATCATAGGGGTTATAAGGGGATTGGCGAGCGACGCGAGCGGAGGGTGGTAGCTGATTAATTGGCATTTAGTAGGGATTTAGTCGAAGTTTAGTGGGGACTTCTATTGGGTTTTAATCGGGATTTAGTGAAGATTTAATCAGGATTTAGTAGAGGATTATATGAGATTCAATAGAGGTTTAGTAGGGGTTTAGTCGGGGTTTGATCAGGATTTAATTAGAGTTTAGTCGGACCACAGTGGGGACTCCCATTGGGATTTAATCGGAATTTAATGAAGATTTAAACATGATTTAGTAGAGGTTTAGACGAGGTTCAGTGACCGTTTAGTAGAGATTTAGTCGGGGTTTCATCAAGATTTAGTCATTGGGGTTCAATTTCGATTATGCAGAGATTTATTCGAAATTAAGTTGATGTTTAATCACGATTAAGGAGAGATTTAATTGGAGTTTAGTAGGGGATTCAATCTGATTTTAACGAGGAATTCCCTCGGGCTTACACTGGACTTAATCTCTGGTATACATCAGAGTATAGTTAGGAGTTAATCTAGGTTTAGTTGAGATTTAATGTGGATTTAACTGAGGTTTTCGACTGGAGGAGAGAGTCAACTGTATTGCAAACAAAACCATTTATCTAATCACCTCTTTACGACTGACACTAGGGTTAACCGATCATTGTTTTCACAATCAGGCTGCTGGTTCGAGGACAGGGAAGTGGCCAATGGGGAGACACTCGCCCCTGCTGATAATCCCTGCAGGCAGTGCACCTGCAAGGATGGGGTCATCTCTTGTAGAGATCCTATTTGCGACTGCAGTTTACAAACCAGTAGGAGGGACAAGTGCTGTCCACAGTGTGATCCTGCTGCCTCTTGCAGGCATCAGGAGCTTCATCATCTTATTTTTAGGAGCGGGGAGAGATGGATTTATCAGTGTCAAACATGCGAGTGCCTGGTATGAACCTAAAACTATTTTCAATTTCAATAAATTTGACGTTTACACTGGGGTAAATTCGTCTAAATTGGAATGTTTTGTCCTGATAATTATAGTTTAATATTCGTGTATCCGTGTGAATGTTTTATCGATTCAATTAGATGAAAAAAGAATCTTTTGGTTTTGTGGAATGTTTGGGGAATTGTTGCTTTCATTCAAAGCCTTTCAGTGATGTATGGAATTTATTTTGGAATTATTCTTTTTCGACATACCGTGAATTATTCAATGAATTTGATTATCTTCTCGCTCTGGCATACAAACGTTCGGAATTAATCATTTAATTGGTATTCATAATTGAATCGATCATTGCGGCTGATTGGATGTCTTCAATATTCAATCGCAATTAATGTCACAATTGATTTCCCTCATTGCAATATACAATTCCATTTATTTTTCAATAACTTCATGTTGAATTGATGCCAATTAGTACATCCTTAAGAGCGAGTGAAACAAAATTCACAGCATTCATTTCGACAACTATGTTTCGTGTTTCAAATATTCGTATATTCATGTTTCATAGAATGGTATTCAATTTTCTTGCTTGTTATACTGAGAAAACAAGTGTTTTTCAGAAGTACTTCTTTACTTGTACCGAGAAATTCGTGGCTTGAAAATTACCAAGCGGACAATATCTCACACTAAGAAAAAAAATCTTACGCCAAGAAATTTTATACTTGTCCGAAAGATGAGGACAATTTTTTTATATCAAGAAAACGAGTTCTCAAGTCAATTAAAGTGGTTTTTGGATCAATATTTTCGAATTGAGGCTGAAAAACTATTAAGTGAATTAATTCAATTTTACTTGGTTTGAGAAATCGCTTTCTTGTCATCAAGAAATTGTGCTCGTACTTAGGACAAGTACAAAATCACTTGACGAAAGTTTTTATTTTCTTAGGGCAAGAGTTTACTCTTGAAAATTTTCAAGTCAGAAGTTTCTTGATATAAGTAAAGATGTACTTTTCAAAAACGTTTGTTTTTGTCAGTGTAGGTGGGCTTCCTGAAGATTAGACGCAAGACGATTGTACGCATGAAAACCACCTTACTTTTTCGTTCGAGATATCCGCAATGTTCGAGTTCTCATTTTCGATTCGATATATTGGCCATGTTTTTTTTTAGAAAGGAAACCAAGGAAATTTTTTAAATTTACAGAAAATCGAGAATTTTTTGAAGTTTCCAAAAGGTTGTAGAATTTTTCTACAATTATTTTTTCCAACGGTCTATATGCAACTTAGGCCAATAAATTATGGCCTATCACAAAATCTCATTCAAATCCATTCAGTCGTTTTTGTGAACACGAACAAAAAAGGCACAACATTTATAGGTAAAATGATAATGACTCCTCAAATTTTTCGATGAAATTGGACAATTTGTTCTTTTGTACTGCATTCAAACTTTTCAGCTACACTGATAGACTGATTCATTTATTGCAAACGGATTCGTTAACTATTAACGAATGGTGGAGTTAAATAAGACCAAATGAATATTCGTTAATAATTAACGAATGGTTCACTTTAAATGTGAAAATCAAATCAAACAAGGCCCCTCAAATGTGCATTTGTTAACTATTAATGAACTGGGATATATCGCTGTCCTTCATCGCAGGATATCCTCGCGACGATTCGTAATAATTCGGACATCCTCGATCGGATGATTAATGTCGTTCCAGCTCCCATAGTGTAAACTAAAGCTACACGGGCGAAAAACTTTAATAGAAAAACCTATCGAATTCGTTAAAAAATTCTATTGAATTTCTATTGAACTGTTCTACTAGTTTCTGACCGATTCTAATGAAATTTTCAATAGAAAATATTCAGTAGAAAAAGTCAATAGAATTCAATTTTTTTACATAACTTATTCTATTGACATATTTTCTATAGAATTGCCTCGCCTCAAATTTTCCAAGTTTTTTCGTTTGATTTTCTTGATGAGAAGAAAAGAAAAATAGAATGAAAAAAACTTAGAAAATGTGAGTCGAGCAAATTCTATAGAAAATATATGAAAAGAATAAGTTACATAGAAAAATCGAATTCTGTTGACTTTTTCTATTGAACATGTCAATAGAATCAGCCAAAAACTAATAGAAAGTTTAATAGAAAGTCAATAGAATTTCCTAACGAATTCGATAGGTTTTTCTATTAAATATTTTCGTGCGTGTACGTTTGCCGTGAATAAATCTAATTCGATATATATTAATTCCGAGTGTTATACGTTACAAAAGCCATCTATCCTTTACCGAATTCCCACAAGTGAGACCGAATAGACCCTCGTCTCCAGCCAAATCCATTCGTTAATAATAACTAATAATTTTTATCAGTGCATAAAATTTAACTTTACATTCATATAATTTCAGTATGGAGAAATAGACTGTTGGCAAATGGAATGTCCCCCAGTAAGCTGTACAAACCCAGTAACCGAGGATGGCGATTGTTGTCCACGCTGTGAGGATGATCCCTGTGCACGGGAAATTCACACAAACATTACCACTATCGCAGTGTCAAGTCATCCACGACCCTGCAGTTACGCCGGTATAATTCACGACAGCGGCAGTTCTTGGCAGGACCCGCATGACAAATGCACAACGTGCGAGTGCAAGGTAAGGGGGCCCGTAACGAGTCAACCTACCAAAACATATTTCCATTATCATTTTATACTTACATTGTTGCCTAGCCCATAAATTAGGATCACGGGAAGTAGGAATCAGTGGGTGATAGCGATAGTTTAAAGTGCAGCCATGAATAAATACATATTTGAATAGATATATTCACTGTATCTTGTCACTTACTCGATGATTCATTATGATATGATACTCTGATGTGGACAAGGTCAGTAAACGAAGTGTATAGCGCCTTCGCTTTGACCAGAGAACAAAAAACATAAACCGTTGCTGCAGAAACATTGAAGTGCTAACAATTATCGTGCAGTACTGTACAGAATATCAGATTGCATTTAGTACTGCACGATTTTGTCCTGAATATGCGAGTTTTTATGTGAAATGATGCTAAGTGGCTAATTACACTGAGGGGAGAAAAATTTTGAACGGGTAGTTTTTGAATCAACAAAGTAATCTACTGATGGTTACCAAGATACATATTGTATCAAATTGAAGGACAAGAATGGTGAAAATGATACACTGAGAGAAACGAAATTTTTGTAAAGATCTTTGGTAACACTCCGTTGGTTGCGCTATGAGCGCCGCGCCGCACTACTTCCGATTTTTTTAATTACACTTCTGTAAAGCTTCAGAAAAATGGGAAAAAATTTTACATCTCATTTGGAGGTGTCTAGAAGTCCTATCAGATTCTCAAATTCCGAAACTCCGGGTCGTGTACTGTGTATAATGCCAATTTTCAGAAAAACATGGCAACCGTGAGCTTGAATATATAATTAAGAGTAACACTGAATATAAAATATCTTACGAGACTTCTTCAAGTATACGATCTAAATCACTCTTGATTTTTCTCAGATTTTTCCTAGATCTTTCAAATTTATTATTATGTCCATTTATGCTGTGGCGGTGCGGCGCTTAGGGCGCGACCAGCGGCGTTAGAAGAAACGCCGGAGAGGAAATATGCGCGAAAGAAATGATACGCGGAAAATTAGGAAAAGAATGGGAGAAAATGTCGAGGAAAAAATGTCGGTGCACCATTTTTATCACTGAAATTTGGCTATAGATTTCCAAAAATGAGAGATGGATTCCTGAAAATCAGAGACATTACTCTGCAAATTAGGAATGATGTCGCTCGATCTTAGCGATAATGTCACTGAAAATTGGTGACAAAATCATTGAATTTCACAATTGTGACTGTATTTATCTGGTTCTTCTTCCGTATCACTTAAACACTTTTTAGTACCAAAATATGTATGCAAGTACAGAAAGAGATGAAGAAGAAATGAGATTTATTGTTTGCATAGCAAATGTGAATTTTTTGAAACACGCTGAGGGAAAAAATTAGTTCTGCGGAAAAATTATGTTCTCCTGAAGAGATCTGTCATGTTGAATCAACTTACTTGTGGGCAAAAAAGAAAGCTTCCACCAAAACATGATAATTTTCGTAGTAGTATTTGTTCTCGTGAGACATTGTATGTCTTTCGGGTAAATACATTCGTTCTACAGAGAATTATATGAGGCTCCAGTTTTATCAAGTGAATGTTATTGAGTAGTGTATATCTTTTTCCAATAAACACTTACGATTTCCATGGAACCAATGATAATTTCAAGAAGAAACTACAATTTTCAAAACTAAATAATTTCGAGGAGAAAATTTTTTTGGGAAAAGTATTCTTTCCTCGTCAATGTATTCTTCCCATGGTATAAACCTATGGAGTCCTCTCAGATCAAATGATTCTCGTACAACACATTATATTTTTTCCTGCCAAGAGTTCCAATTCTTCTAAGGATATTTCTGATGATGACGACAAAAATTTAATTTTCGTGAAAGATATTAAATTTCCTTCTATCAAGTTAATTAATTTCCCTCAAGTAAATCTGTCCCACTCCATTAAATATCCTAACATAAAGTTTTTCAGCAGAGCTAATTTTTTCTCTCAGCGCAAGAATTGTAATTCTGCAATCAAATTTTTCACCTTATGACATTTTCCAAATGTCCCAGACTTGGTAATCATCAACGTGCGAATTCCCTGGTGGAACTAAAACTTGTTTGTGAATATTTTTCTCCCAATCAGTGTAGCCTTAATGCTTCCAACAGTACAGACATACCATACCCACAAGACATTGACTCGATTGACATAACAATCATTATTTATTTTAATTAAAAGATTATTTCTTTACAACACGAAAACATATTTTGATCAATTCATTTCCAATCAATGAAATATCGGTAGGTAATCCTCGTTCGTACGATACAGACCTCTGTCTCATTGAATACCTGATTTCATTAACTTCTCCTCATCTAAATGTTTAACTCGAGACTGTGGCTATGCGCTGAAGTATTAATTTCTCATTAATATTTTATTGAACGATGGTAACTGCTAGTTAATTATTTAACATGATATTTTAACATTTAAGTCGCTGTACAACGCGATGTCTAGTATCCTTACAGGGGCGTTCCCAAGCTGTAGCAAGATCAGTGTTTCTTTTGATTTCAATTTTGATGGATTTAGTTTAATTAAAGTTGCATTATAGTTTGATATATACATGTCATCATTGAATTCGATGCAGTAATAATATGAAAGGAGAAAACACTAGTTATGAGGAAGCTCGAGCGATCGAGGCCTGAGCGATGGAATAACAGCTGGCTTGCTTTTTGAAGCTTTCATCGTTTATATGAATTAACATGAGATAATTATTTAATTAATCCAGAGATCACGATCGCACGTGCTTTCGGGTCGGCCCTGCATGGATCATTAGTGCTACTGATTATTTTTATTTCAACGAACTCGATCGGACATTTTCCTTCTTCATGTTTGACCTGTAGAGGTAGAAAGTTATTGATTGGTAGTTGATCAATAATTGAATTGGCGGAAGTGGGGTGGAATGGATTTTTTTTCGGGTTATATTTTGCAACATTTCAAATTCCAAACATTTTCTTTTTATGAATGTGTGATAATAATAATTATTCCAACTTCTGAAGAGTTCATTTTTTGCCATTGAAACGATTTACGGGACATTTGCAATGTAAATAATTTTATTATAAATTTGAAAATATTTTTTTTTGATGGAAAAAATTTGTTGTTGAACAACTGATGTTGACTTTCTAATTTTGTTTTGCGAATTCCGGAATGTTCTTTATGATTAAATGATGAAAATCGTTGCAAAATGTGCTGCAATGTAGGAAATGTTTAATAGAAAAGAGCGGAGTTTTCGTTAAAAATTTCTATTGATGTAGATTTTTAAAACTAATCTTAGGTATAAATTGTTAACATTCATTTTCTCAAAATTTTTAATAAACAAATAAACTTGAAGAGCCTTCGGGAATTCATGCCCAAGAATTGTATTTTTTTCCCATTAAAGTAATTTTGGGAAACATTTGCAATGTAAATAATTTAATTATAAATTTGAAAAGATATTTCTTGGCATAGAAAATTCATTGTTCAAGAATTGTTTGTGAAAAACAATGTCAAATAATCTTAAATCTCGGTTTTACGAATTCCAGAATGTTCTTTATGATTAAATAACGGAAATCATTACAAAATGTTTTGTAAAAAAATCCGGAGTTTTCTTAAATAATTTCTATTAAAGTTCTATTATCAATTTGATTCTTTTTATTATCGATTCATTCAAACTTATCTTATAACGAAAATAACTTGAAATAAAACAAAATTGTTTTTTTTAATATTAAAAAGTCAATAGATGTTGATTTTTGGTCCCAATTTTAAGCATAAATTTTTAAAGTTTTCTCGAAATTTGAAATGACCAAGAATTTTTATTTTTTTTGAATTTGAAAATCGAGAATAATTCATGCGGAAAAATCAAGATCTATTGACATTTTATATAAAATCTGTACTAAAAATCGCACATCAAATTAGAATTTTCAATTAAATTCCAATAGAAATGATTCAAAAAAGCACAATTTCAATGGAAAAAAATGGAATGCAGGTCTATTCTACTCCAACCATCCCGCCAATATCCACTAATTAGTGAATTCCGTAGTTAATTTGATTGACTGCAGACGACGATGGATCGACGTACACTAGACTATTCGTAAAAAATAGATCGTTAAATGTTCGAACGGGTTCGTGCAAACACATCATCCTGAATATGCTAACCTTGACCATTAATAAAACCCCGTGATAACTAACCGATTAACGAGCCTAACAATGGGTATCCTTGCAGGTGCCGTACTGCGCCCAATTGGTGAGCAATAGCGCGTGTTGTGTGCATCGGTAATCACATCACTTCTACCTCACCTATATCTTCTAAAACCTGCCTATTTATTTTTATTTATTTTTTCATTTAGATCAGCTACTTGAGCTCGATTTTTGCAGGCCTGCTTGTCTCTCATATCCCTCCAATATTTTTTTGTCTCTTCTACTTTCGACATCATGTCTCTCGTAATTCATCTCTGAACGACATTAACTCACCCTCAATTATCTCTGCTCGTAGCACGCAGTCCATGTGAATAATTAATTCCGATTGAACGGAGAAATTCGACAAATGTTTCAACAAAAATTTTCTATATAAATTTTGGAATTGCAAAGGGAACCCCTGGGACTGAATTGCACGCTCTGAATGGTGGCATGATCGTTCCTTCTCATTTATATCATTTGATATTTGCCTGCATTACATAGCACGCTGAATCACCATAAGTTATCTTATTTTCTCTTTATTAAAACTCTATGATACGAAGAAAACCCGTAAGATCGGTCAAGAGAGAAATAAAACGCACGAGGAGACGCCTACATGTTCGCATTATTTTGCACAGTTTATTACACTTTATTGGAGTTATTTATTCAACTATTTTTCATTTTTTTTTTTAAATCAACACTCGGGTCTTTTTTGCACACTCCCTCCGTCTGCATACATGAAACAATATTAGAAGCACAAGGGCGCTCTCAATCGCTACTTATGATGACAAAACTTCGAGTGAATGTGAAAAATCGTTATTTACACTGTCGGATAGAATCGAAATTTCATGGACCGTTGGCATGTAATGTTCAGGAGTGAAATTCAATGAAATTCTAAATTCTACAGCCGCAGGAACATTGCAAATTGTAGAATAAAGGATATTTACCTAAATTTTCCTAATGTTTCAACTGTTTTTACTAAACATTTTTAAAAATCTTCCAGCCAAGTATACGATCAGGGCATTTGAATGCATCTGTTTAACACATAAAGATGTAATATTTAAATGATATTATTATTCAATTTAAAATACCTTGCAAAATTCAATTTATTTTTTAATAATCAGTGTAGGCGATTTCCCTCTACACGAAATTGCGCGCTTTTAATATGTAAATGTTATTGTCAAGTACAATATATAATTTTATCTTTATAGCAACTTAAACAGGACAAAACATTATTCCAATTAATAATTCAGTAGCAAAGTGGTAAAACGGTACAAGTCAATGTTGACCATTGGCCAGTTTTCAATGAATATCTCGGAATCTAAGGGAGATAGCAAAATTTTTGTTATAACCTTTTTTGTAGAGCCGATGGAGAGCTACAACAAATGTAATTACGAAAATTGCGCTATTTCTATTAGGTTCGGAAATATTACTCAAAAACTCAACTGGGAGATGAGTCGACTTAAACCGTTTTACCACTTCGCTACTGAATTATTGCAATTACTTAATGCTTTAAACGACAAAATAATAAGAAAAATAATTGATGGACCGGTCATGTCAGAGGTTGAGAAGCAAGAGAGCGAGGTGTCTCGCGTGAGGTGAGAAGTTACTCGTCGAATCGCAAACGACACATTTCGTCAATTTAATTTAAACTCATTATAAAGAAAAGAAAAAGAATGACATCTAAAAATTTCTGAAAATCTTAATTTACCCATTCTATTACAACGAGGGATGCAAAATGACGTAATTTTTTACATGCGTCATCACTACTGATTGCCTGCTGATAATCACAACTTTTAACATCAACTAAAAAAATAACTTTCCATCAACTCAAGGAAAAACAGAAAGAGCGGAAAGACTTGATAGAAAATGCATATACCAGTCGTAACGCAGGCAAATTTAATTTAAAAGAAAATTTCGGAGTGTTAGTTTTTCTTCGCTTTGGGGTAACCGTATACTTGGCTGGAAGCTGATTATTATTAATTTTCATGGAATAATTGAACTGAAATTTAAAGTTTACATGCTGATTTTTCCATCAAATTTTAAGTTTTCAATTCTGAAATTCCTTGAAATTTTAGTTGAACTATAATGTGATCCAAATTTCCAAAAAAATATACAGGAAATTTGAGCGAAAATTTTTTAACAGTGTATTATCAATTGGTATTGTTAAATGAAAATCTTTTGTAGTTTGAACCAACGATTTCATTGAAGTATTGTCATCACGTAGACTCTAGATTAGCTATTCACGGTAAGATCCAAGACATACTATGGGAATTCATTGTTTTGTTCCCCAAATTTTTGCTCATTATGTCTAGCATGTATCTGTGATATTTTTTTTTCTCTACTAAAAATTTTGTGATTAACCATAATAATCATCAAATAACGAGAAATTTGCAACAGAACGTGATTGCCGATTGACCCTGGAGACGGATCAAGAGGGGATTGTGACGTTGATTCCATATTAAAATAAAACAAGACCAAAAATCCACCGAGGTGACAGTGAATCAATTGAATATTCTCAATTGACGAAACAATGAATCACATAATATGTGTTTTAGTCGCGCCCATTGACAATTAATCTTTCTGACCGAAGGTCAATTTTGTCCAATTCTATATTATCAAGTTCAGCTGCATAATGGCATAACAGCAGATTATGTTTGATATTTATTTTGAATTCATTTTTCAACACAATTTGAACGATACAGAGAAAAAAAGTTTCCGGTTTACAGAATGAGTGCTGAATTCAAGAAACTTGTGGTTCTATTATAGAAGGCATTGGTTAATTAGTTTCAGCGAAAAAATCTCTGAAATTCCAGGACGAGCGACGGCGAGTTCATATCATATGAGGCAGAGAAGTTCTTCACGGCTGTGTGCACGGAAATTTCGTTTCCGTGCACCCAAAAAAAAAAACAAATTTCAATTTGAGATTTACGATCTCAAATTTAGACCTATGGAAGTCTCAAACCAGATTTTTGATAATCTTAAATTGAGTTTTGAAACTCTCAACTTGAGATTTCTGAAAGTTTCAAGTTAAGGTGTTTCGTCCGTAGATCACCGGGGGGTGAAACGGAAGGGCAGTCTTATTGTTCTCGAGCCCTGATTCAATCGCTGAGCACGAAATTTTCCAATTTTCAAGTAGCTATTTAAGTGTGCATTTGAACATTTTTTTAATATTGATTTTATTTATCAGATTGATTGATTTTTTCTCATCACCTACGGGTGTCACATAATTTTTATTGGATGTTATTCTAATTATTGAAATAATATTAAAATGCGTCTCGAGTTGGTAAACCTGTCGAGTGTTTTCTCTCTCTCAGTTCCATGGTCCAACCCATATCTTTCCCATGATGGTCACTGACATTCGAATCACGCGCCTGCGCGTGAGGGCGTAATCGCCCCGAAACTCATAATTTTCCGAATCATTTGTTCATATAACTTTCTTATGAAATCTGAAAACAATCTGAAACTTATACGTGTTCTCAAAAAAGATTTGATTTATCACCCACTAGTTTTTTCTCAATAGTTCATTATTTTTTTGGGTGCCATGGAAATTTCCCTAATTGAAACTGGGGAAACCTTGGCTGTTCATCCAAAATTCATTATATAAAAACATCCAAATTTCATTTTTTTTTCTTGAAACTGAGATCTGAAAAAATTATGCAAGAATTCTCAATGATGCAGCATACTTAGAAATTTCTCACATGAATTTTCCATTTTTTTTCATTATTTCATTATTCTGACTTTTCAACCGAAACACCTTAAGACTTTTGCATTTCTCAAATTGAGACGTTCGAATGTCTCAATTTAAGCCTTGAAATCTCAATTGGAGACACGAAAATCTCAATTTGAGACTTGAAAATCTCAATTCAAACCCTCTGAAAGTCTAAAATTAATATTTTCAGAAGGCCAAAATTGAGATTTACAAGTCCCAAATTGGGACTTTCGAGAGTTTTAACTTGAGACTATCAGAAGGATCAAATGGAAATTTTCGTGTCAAATTCTGCGTTGCATTGGTAAACTAGGATCAGTCCATTTTTTCCAAAATGTATTTTTTCTTTAAATTGCTGCCAACAATTTATAGTAATGATTTGGCAAAAAAAAATGTACTCATCCTACTGAACCAATTCATGACAAAATGGAGACTTCAAAATCTCTATTTGATCCTTTCGAAAGTCTCAAGCTGAGACTTCCGAAAGTCTCAATTTAAGATCTTTAAAATCTCGAAATGAGGATTTTTTTCCAGTGTGTGAATTATCGCATTACTTTAGTCAGAAAAAACACAAAAGTCTTTCCAAATTATCATCGTTATTTACAGCACAGGTAAAATTGACTTTACGTGATTACGTCTACGGTTTCATTATGAAGGGGCATTTTGAGAAAAAGTCTTTATGCCGCAGTACCATTTACCGGAATTCTAAAAAAACTTCTAGGTTTCTCCAAAATAATCTTGAATCATACAAAAAACCACAAACTTTCTTTCTCTGTAAAATTGACCAATCTCAAAAGCACATCAACACATTTTCATAAAAACCCCTAGCCATAACCATTTCAATTTCTCCCCCTGAATGACCAATTGAATTGACAAAATTCTCCTTGGACCAGACCAACGTGAGTCAAACTACCTCACCCACAGCTGAATAAACCTAACTGACTAACGACTGTTTAACTTCCCCCGTAGGACGGTCAATTATGCTGCAGCTACGATTATGGCTGTGCTGGTGATTTGGGGAATGGGACTTCCTCAATCCCTCCTAGAAAGTCTGATACTACCTCTGTGTTACATAGCACAGACCCTCCGAGCACGCATTTCGGTACATCGAAAACAGCAGTATCAACGATCGGACCAAACGATAATAATCCAAGACTATCAACACGAGACATTAGAGCCAGTGATAAAGCTCCAAAACCAACGATTATCATCGATTCAACCAAGACACCATCAACATCATCACCAAAGACATTCAAATCATCCCAGAAATACAACGACGAGTCATCTGGAATTGATAAAACACGTGGCATCACCAAAAATCTCATTTCATTTCCAAAGACACAGCCAGTTCGTCGTAATCTATTGGCAACAGCAAGGAGTCAACAGAGACGAAGTAATCTGGTAATTGATAAACGCAGCAACCTTAATGCAGGTAGATCCGGTTATATTGCTGCAACAAGACCCATTGGTAGGAGCGATGCCACCTGAAGTGGCGATCAAAGCTGCTGCGTCCAGACGCTGACGAATTAACAAAATATTAATATCGACGAATTACGAGTTACAAACGGGTCAAGTCATTCCACTTGGGAGGGGGGAGGGGGGGGCTAGAGGCTGAAAACGCTGTGAAGTGCCTCAATGGCGAAGTGACAAAGAGCAATTAACATTTAGACGATTTTTCCATGACAAGGAGAATCGATTTAACTTTGAAATCAATGCGTTATTGGTCGACTTGGAGAATTATCCATCATTTTAATTCTTTATTAGTCTTCTTCTCCTTCCCTCAACCCCTTTTCTTTTGTAATTTTGTATTTTTTTTGGCGGTAGCAGAGACGAATACTGGAGAGGCATTATATTATTAGTGAAGGTATATCGTTGGATGATGACGGAATAACTGGTTGATTCGTAATTTTATAGGGAACACAATTTGTCATATGATTCGTAAATTCAGAGAATTGAATTTATTTAGTGATTTTTAGATGAATTATCACGGTTTATCATAAATGTGAATCGAGCGACAGTTTTTCTCATGTTTGTAATTGCATACAATGACGAATAGTGCTTGAATCGATTGTCCCAGGAATTGATGAGGGGAATTATTATTGATGGGTGAATTTGGGAGATGATTTTTTTTTGTCCCGCCCGATGAACGCGCTGGACTCGCTCGATCGGTTTTTTTCTCGTCGATTGATCCTAGAGTTTTTCCCGCTCAGCCCAATGGTAACGAGTTAAGGTACTTCCTCAGTGTTTGAACGGTGGTGGAATTGTTTGAGTGTAAGGGTCTACTAGACCCGGAGAAATGACGTTTTGAATCCGATTAAATTGCATTTGAAATTTTTGTATTCGTTTCAACGATTTTTTTGTTGGAAGTTAATAAACTTATTTCTGTAGCTAATGAAATTTTTTTATTGTATGAAATAAATAATTCGTTGAATTCAAGTAATTATTACGGAATAAGGAAACATTTGTTTATATTTGAAAAATTATTTATTTGGTGTGAATAAGAAGATGAATAAAAAGAAAATTTGGGTCTGAATGAACGCATTAATGTAATTCAAATAAACCATTTTTTTGGGTGTAGAAGTCTCAGAACTGTAAATTCTTGTCAAAAACATATTGAAAATATGTCATTTGTACAGAGTCTTATGAGAGTTGTTTTCCAACTGAGAAATAATGCTTGAATTATGAAAAAAATTGTTTAGAAATGTGCTTACTCTAAGAAGTTCTACTGAAATTCTATGAAAAATTCTCTTTACTTTCTATTAAAGATCTTGCAATTTCGCCCATTTTTGACCAAGAAAATAAATAATTTATGGCCACGGATTTCTGTAGAAAAACTCAAGATAATAAATCTTGTGAAAAAATGTAAATCCAGTGACTTTCCTATCAAATATCAACCAAAAAATCATAAAATTTTGTCATATCATTGCATTACTTGTTTTTTAAATGCGTAAATTCCGAATAATTTTTAAAAATGCATAGAAGCTCCAGATATTTTTTTCCTTCATTAAAAAAATATATACTGTTGCCAATTCTGGAAAGAACTCCATATTTTTGCCAGAACATCCAATCCTCACTACTCCCCCAAAATGTTGACTGAGGAAATACCTTAATGAAGAGAAAATGGAAGAAAAATACTACAACTACATTCCTTCTTAAACTAACATTAAGTAGGCACTAATGAGAGAAACACATATGATTATAGAAGTGAAAGAATAAAGAAAAAATGAAAAGAAACATAACTAAATAAAATAATTAAAAATTAAAGTTACGTAAGAGAATTAAACAAATGCCTGCCCACAAGAAAAAAAACCGTTAATGCAGATTGTATTACCGTAGGGGTACATATGAGGTTTTAAAACTAAATTAATCTAAATTATGAATAAAAAAAACAAAATCCAAAGCAGATGTTATAACAAAAGTGAAACGGCTAAATGCGCCTCGGAATTAATACGTAGCGTGTAAATGAGAATCTCAAGACTCATATGAAGTCATTAATTGCAGATGAAATAAATAAACAGTGAATGATAATTAATGAAAATACGAAACATACTTTTTCAGAATCTCGCAATACGCACCAGAGAATTATTGGTAAACGTCTGTTCAATGTGCAATAATTTTCAATTTAAAATAATCTAGCTTAATTTATAAACAATTGGTTTATATAAAAATAAAAATTAATAACAAAAAAATGAGCGAGAGAGAGAGAGAGAGAGAGAGAGAAAGAAAGCGAGAGAGATGCAACAATGATATGAGAGGATGCATTGAAAAGCGTAAGAGATACGTGACATCGAATCGAATGATCTTTACATTGAGTTTGATTTGTCGTCGCATTTAGAAAGAGAAAATAACAATTGAGATGCCAATTTAATTGGTCTCAGGGTCGATCTCATGCGATTTTAATCGACCTAGTCGAATCGGGCATAGAGATTAAGGTCTCCCCTCTTAGAGGTTCAATTCTAGTCATACATTGATGTGAATCGATCAGTCGATTGCAAAAAAAACTAAAAGCTCATCTGAAAAATTTGATATATCAATGTGAATGCCTCATTTCGTTTGACATAATATTTATCATCTTAATTTGACTATTCTTGAGGATGAATCATTGATAACAGTTGGTAACGCTGAGACATTAATAATTATGCAAAAACTTTCCCCAGGAAGTACATAATTGTACATTTAAATAATGAAGAAATTGTAAATTGTATGACATTTTTATTTTCAATTATTAAAATAGAAAATACAGTGTACAAAATAATTGTTTACAGTTTTTTTTTTCATTTTGTTCTCCTCATTAATTCTAGTTTAATGTATCTAAAGAGCCGATGAAAATATTCTTAGATTTTAATTAGTAACATTTGAATAATAAATTACAAATGAAACAGATAATGAGTGAATAATATTCATTCCCGATTCTGTATTTTCGCGTAGAAAATACAAACAACATTGAGCAATGAACAAGTTAATGAAGTTTACTGACGAAAAATAATAAACAATAAATAGAGATGTAAAAACAAATACTGTTCCTTAAATAAATGAAGATTAAAGAAACAAAGTTATATATGAAACGAACCGCTGGTCGTGTGCGGCTCTGACAGATGATTCTTTTTAAAAATACTGATGCGCAAACATTAATTATAATGAGACAAGAAATTAACACTATCCACATGATATTCGCGATTAATAATAAACATTGTGTTGCGCCCAATAATGAATTATCCTTGAATTATTATCCGGTGCGCGGGTGCGCAGTTTGATTGGAACATTCACGAACGAAAATATTTCGTAGAAAAACGTTGCGAAGTCATTTGAACATTCTATTGAATTTCTGTTGAAAAATTCGGGAGTTTTATTCTGCGGTTTTTAGTTGAATATGTCCAATAGATCATGTTTTATACAAAAAATCAGAATTTGATTTTTCTATACAATTTTTTCTATTGAGACATTTTCTATGGGAATTCCTTGACGCGAATTTTATAAAATTTATGTGAAAATTCTGTTTAGCATGTATAGAAAAATTCTGCATTTTTATTCCCCGTTTTTTATAAAAAAAAGGCCAATCAATCCTATTTTTTGAAAAATTAGGAGAATTCGATTTTTTACATAATTTTTTCCATTGAGACATTTTCTATAGGAATTCCACAAACAAACTTTCCAAGTTTTCTCCCTCTATTTTATCTCCTCATTAAAAAAATCAATCAAAAAAAATGATAAAGTTCAAGCCGCGGAATTTCCATAGAAAATATTTCAAGTTGTATAGAAAAATCAAATCCTATTAATTTTTTCTATAAAGTATTTTCTATTAAAGAAACCCAGTAGAATTTCCAGAAGAACTTCAATATAAATAAAATAGAATTCTCTCGCGAATTCGGAAGGTTTTTCTGTGAAATTTTTTCGTGAGTGTTGAAACAAAAATGATAAATAGGACATGAGAATGCTGTTACTCTAATGTATATAGTTGTGTACCGTTAGTTTATCATACATTATACATATAAGCTGACTAAATACGCAAATAATTATTTACATTATTACGAATGAGAGAAAAATCACACCAAGAAGAGAATGAATAAAAAAAGATTAAGAAATAAAGTGACGAATTGAATAAAGTATCCAAATGGTGATCGTTTTTTTTGCATGGTCCTGCGAGTGACGTAAACAAAATGAATAACTCATACGATTACTACCGTATGTTATTACTTGGCACAAAGAAACGTCAGATGAGTGACTGTTTGATATGTATATTAGAGGTACAATAGCCTGTCTAATGATGTGTTTTTTGCACGAACGCGTTTATTGTTCAGATGTAATAGGCCGGTGTGAGAGAACAACTGGAGAATTTTATGAATATATTGGGGGAGGTGGGAATCAGTCGATGGGGTAGATAGGTAGATAGGTAGGTATGTAATAATGGAGCGGGGATGTGCCGGGCCACGGAATTTATCATTCAAGATGTCAGGACTATCGAGATAACCCGAGTAGTTCTATCGTTTATTCACTTCGGTTTCGTATTTTACGGGAATTTCAATTCGTACGGTTTATGAGGATTATGTGGTACACTGTTAAAAAATGTTGTCTGAAATTTTCGGTACACTTTTTGTAAATTTTTATCGAATTTAATTACTACTGAAGTTTCAAGGAATTTTGTCATTGAAAATTCAGAATTTAGTGGAACAAAAAGAGAATTGTAAATTTCAGTTCCATTTTTCCCTGAAAATGAATGGAAAACTAGAAAATTCCGGTAAATATATTCTTGAATTTTCAGGACACTAAATGCGATTTAGGGGAAAAAAATCTTGAAATTTCAGATTTCACTGCAAATTCAATATCATTTGGCACTGAATATTCATATTATATTGAAAATTAAAATGAATTAAGGAATTCGCGTCTATATGCTACTTAAAATTCTGGAATTTTATTGAATTTCCAGTGAAACCTGAAATTTTATTTTTTTTCTAAAAGTGTAGGGGAGTAATTGGGAGAGACTGAGGCAAAATGGAGACTCTACGTGTCTTTCAATCCTCGTAACTCAAAAATAAATTGATCAATTGAGTATAATAATTTGAAAA